AGCGGAGGGGAGCGCAGACTGGAATTGGGAACCGCTGATGTAGCCTATTGTAGCAATGTTGTCTCTGGTCTGTGAGTGTATATGCGTTCAGGGGGGCGTGGCTTTAGACTGCGATTGCAGGGAGGGTGGGATGTTCGCTTTCAGTGCTATCAAGGGAACCGCTGATGTAGCCTATTGTAGCAATGTTGTCTCTGGTCTGTAAGACTGGCTTTAGACTGCGATTGCAGGGAGGGTGGGATGTTCGCTTTCAGTGCTATCAGGCTAAAGCTATCATTTTCCAAGATCTCCTACTGCACCTTTAATTTCCAGTTTAATAAAGCATTTACAACTTGTACTTTTTATTTTTAAGTTAGTCATTTCTACTATTTTAGAAATTAAGTTCTCTATACCGATCTAGACTACACGATAAAAAAGCTAAAATGTTCAGTCGATATTTTCTCTGCACTGCTGTAAAGAGTACAAGAACAGGACAGGATTGAGGAAGACAATGCTTTTACAGAGGTTCTGTATCCCTCCCTTTTAAAATGACCCTGTTGCAAGGCTTCTATGCAAGTCTTAGCTTACCACAACGTCCTGAATGTGCTGCTCCACCAGATTGTTCTTGGTGGCCACCAGCACAGGTCTGCCGAAGGTGTCCAGGTAAGTGTAATGCAGCTCGTCCTGACTGCGGGTGATGGGGTAGGGAGTGTCCACGTGGATATTTCTGGGGAGAACAACAGAGTAGTGGTAAATCACCAAATTTCAAACTTGATTGTGAGGTTTGCTCATGCTAATGCATATCAGATGCTTACCTGGCTCCTTCAGGAAGGATCAGTTTCACAGTTAGTTGGTCAATAACCTGGTCATCATAGACATGATCAACCAGACGAATTTTCAGAGCATACTGATCTCCTAAAGGACAAAAGGATGTAACATGAGTTTATATTAATAGAAAATATTTGAATCTGTCAACTCGATACCAGACACCCACCCAGATTGTAGAGATACTCATAGCTGGGAAGATTATAACCAATGATGTAATGTGTTTTCCAGCCACCGAACAGCGGGAACCGGGGACGGATTTCAACTTCTACGGAATCATCTAGAACTTGGAGGTGAGATGTGGAGATGTTCCCGATCTCATCACGGTAATACACATCTTGAGCAGAGGCTGGGAGGATGGTCTGCAAGAAGATATAAAAGTAAGTTGAAGAAAACCAAACGTTTCCTCTACTTAAGCCAGTTTCAAGCTTATATATTAACTTGCTTTTTAGAGTTGACTACTGGGATGCCACCTTTAGCTGAGCCAGTATGTTGGACCAGATATCATTTTGTTACATACTAATGCGTTCAAATAATTAATACAAATAAGAAGAGAGAGTTAAGACACCTTGAAAGATTTGACTGATGAAATGCCGCTGTCAGACTGTCTCTGGTAGTCATAGCGGGAAAAAGGCCCCTTCAGGAAAGCCCCGGTGTGTCTCAGGTCGATGGTTTCCTCCACGGCGATGTTGCCCCAGTGAGAGACCTCGATAGTGCGAGTGACGCTGCTGATGGTAATGAAAGGCGTGTTGTTCTCATAGTGGATCTTCATGGCATCCTACAAACCAGCAGTTTTCAAAAGGTTTTCAAAAACACTACCATTCAAAAATATGGGGTCAGTAAGATTTTGCTTTTGAAAGAAATTAATACTTTTATTTATCAAGCACACATTAAATTGGTCAAAAGTGACAGTAAATACATTTATAATGTTACAAAAAAAAAGTGTATTTCAAAATTCATTAAGGAAAAAAAAGCATCATGGTTTCCATAAAAATATTAACCAGCACAACTGTTTTCAACATTGATAAGAAATGTTTCTTGAGGATTTCAGAAGGATCATGTGACACTAAAGACTGAAGTAATGACGCTGAAAATTCAGCTTAACATCACAAAAATAAATTGCATTCAAAAAATTATATAAATAAGTACATATACAATTTAATTTAAATTGTAACAATATTTCACAATATTATTGTATTTACTGTATTTGTGAAAAAAATAAATGAGCCTTGGTGAGCAGAGAAAACAAAACAAAACTGATGCATGCTGTAAAGAAATTTCATAATTACCAGGCAATGACAATATTATCACAAACACACAGTTTAAAGAGCATTACAGTACAACACAGTGATTATTGTGGTCAGTCACCTGGCTGAAGGGAGGAACATCTTTGAACGGTCCATACTCTACAGTCTCATCGCTCTTGGTGGGGTTGCCCAGTTTGGTGTAGGTCTCCACGGTTTTGGAGGCCAGGCGTACGCGGGTGGTCTGTGAGCGGGTGGGGTATGGGGAGTACAGGTAGTGGTTCCCCTGGAAGACCACCAGCTGTCGCTCGGCCTGGGTGATGTGGGTGGGGAAGGGCTTCAGCACGTGACTGAACACCGTCTCAACCTTCACCCGCAGTTTAGCACCCGGAGCAAGAGATGACGGCAACTGTCTGCGAGACACTCAGAAGCTTGTGGTAAGCACTGTTGGGAAGTTACTTACATGTAACGGAATTTCGTAATTTAATTACAAAATAATAATAACAAAAATACATCTCAATATTTATACACACATTGATCTCTTTCCCAAATTGCTTTGACTGCTTTAAAATATGAGACACCGATGTTTCAGGAGTTTAGGATACAGACACTATAAATTATTATTCGAGAACTGTTTTATTTCCTATTTGGGTTTATGTATTTATGTTTTAAGATTAACTGTTTTTTCCCCAAGGCATTGTTCAAATAAATGCTGCTTTCCCCCTTCACTTATGCAGCCTTGGTGAGCACAAAAATGCATTACTCCAAACATTTGACAAGTTCTGTGTGTGTGTGTGTGTGTGTGTGTGTGTGTGTGTGTGTGTGTGTGTTTACTGCACTACATTTCATAAATAAAAGTTGTTGTTTGTTTTACCTTTAATACTTAAGAACATTAAAATGTAGAACGTTCTTGTACTCAAGTAAGTCTTTGAATTACTTTTACTTGAGTAAACGTAAGAAAGTAATAGATTTCTAATGTAATTAAGTATTAAATGATATTTAATATGAAACGTAGTGCAGTAAAAAGTACAATATTATGCTTTGGAATGTTGTGAAGTAAAATTTTCTAAAGAAAAACACTCTGATAAAGTACAGACACTTGAAAAGTACTTTTACAGCAAAGTAAAAATAGTTCACTACTGTCCGCCTCTGTGTATATGTATATGTATATATATATACAGTGTTGGGGGTAACGCATTACAAGTAACGCGAGTTACGTAATCAGATTACTTTTTTCAAGTAACTAGTAACGCATTACTTTTTTAATTTACAAGAGAATATCTGAGTTACTTTTTCAAATAAGTAACGCAAGTTACTTTGTTTTCCCAATTATTGATTGAAAGCTCTCCCCTTGTTGAGAGAAATCGGGAGTAAGATGCTACTTTAGTTCTAGAATAAATGTGAACATGCATTAATTCATCTCACTCACAAAAAAAAAAAAATTCAGATTTAGTTTTCCTCAAAATTAATAAAAACAGTGAAAAGCAGCTCATAATATGACTCAAAGCTGCAATCATTAAATATGTCAAATAATACAAATATCCTTTATGTATTTAATCACATTTTATTAACCAATTTGCTGCTGAGCTTCAGTGATCCAATTCAACCACACTAATAAGCAAAAATGACAGAAGATAAACTAACATTTCTTCTTTTTTTTATTGCTGAAGAGTGTTGAACTTTCTTCTTCTGTGTTCTACTGTACAGACGTTAATTTACATTTCATTCAGCCTGAGGCTTTTGGTGTGAAAGGGCTTTTACATTTGCCATAAATATAACTTTTTTTTATTAAAAGCAAACAAGCAAGCCCACACTGTAAAAAATAAGTGTAATTTTTACTGTAAAATTTTGTAAAATAAATATAACTTTTTTTTATTAAAAGCAAACAAGCAAGCCCACACTGTAAAAAATAAGTGTACTTTTTACTGTAAAATTTTGTAAAAACGCTACGGGGAAAAAAATGTTAATAGGTTAACAGTAAGTTAACACAGTTAATACAGGGAAAAACTGTAAAAGATCTAACCAGACATTTCATTTTACAGTAAAATGCTGTTAATTGTACAGTTTTTAGAAGTAAAAATGAACAAATCAATGTAGAATTTACAGTCAAAAACTGTTAACTGATATTCCCAGAATTCCCTGCGTGACACTCCACATTTGAAAGTATTTTGTTTAAATAATCATGTTTTTTAATAGTTTTGTTATCAGTTATGTACATTTGGTCTTTGTTACATCTTCTGTTGTTTAATGAAAGTTGAATGCATTATTTAAGTATCATGTGCGTTACCATGTGTGTTTTGTGTTTGCATGAATGACTCTGTGCACCTTCTATATATTAGTATATACTTCTGCTTGTGGCGAAGCTACTTGTGATGAGCTTTGATTCTTCGTGTGGCATTCTTTTACCACCTGCATTATTATGGTGGTTATCAGTATTATTATGGTGGTTGTCAATATGTTAAAGGTACAAAACAGATTTTAATAGCAGTGTGCGTTGTTGAATTTGCTGGTTTACATTCAAATGTTCTTGTTTGTAAATCAGTTTTATACTGTAAAATGTACAGTTTTTGGCCGTAAATGTGTTTAGCTTTTCAGTATTTTTTACAAAATTATTCTGGCAACCACAGCTGCCAAAATTATTTAGTAAAAACTATAGAATTTTTTTTACAGTGCAGCCCAGATTAAAAAAGTAACGCAAAAGTAACGTAACGCATTACTTTCAATAAAAAGTAACTAAGTAACGTAATTAGTTACTTTTTTAGGAAGTAACACAATATTGTAATGCATTACTTTTAAAAGTAACTTTCCCCAACACTGATCACATATATATATATATATATATATATATATACACAAACATACACTACTTATCATTCCTGAGTCCTGACATACTTATTTTTTATATAAAATAAGACATACTTTTTCTAGAAATACAAAAACAATTATGTTCTGTCACTGTTAGTTTATTGAAACAATAGACAGATGATGTCCATTCCAAAATGTTTTTAGCTAATACAACTGGGATGATATGAAAAATAGGCTTATTAACTTTTTGTTGTATACCGTTTTCTGAACCAAGACCCCAAAACGACCATTCTCTCATAACAATCCTAACTTAACCCTTTCACAGATTACAGTGCACAAACATTAAGGTCAACACTTTAAAGTTCAACATTTTATGAAAATGTTTAAATTGGACTAAGAACATTGAATAGCCAACATACAAAATCAGCCAATTGAAAGTGCCATCAAGAACCATCAACACTAACAAAGCCAACAGACGATATTTAGCATTACAAAAGCCTAAACAGAACGTTATTTGATCACAACATTAAAACACTAAGAACATCTCATCTTGTCGGGGGAGAATGAGGAGGAATGCTTCAGAGGTTTTGGATGTTATACGTCTGTTGAATGTTTAGTGTGTCTCGTAGCATTAGGTCCCGTAGTCGCCACAGAGCATCAGCCATGGTCTTGTGAGCTCCCTTACTCTTCAGCCAATGAGAGGGCAGGCGGCTCTCCTGCTCTTTTGTGAGCCGTACATCTTTTCTGCGAGCTGAAGTGACACACAAGGACAATATTTGGCCATTTTAAGATTTCTAATGCAACCCTAGCATCAGTTCCAAAATCAAAAGACAGACTTGATAGTAGATATTACACATTTTTCTAACATTATTAATACTTTTCTAAAATGTTTCAATTCTAAGTAAATACAATAGCTTGAAACAAGCTACCACTCAAAAGACAGCAAAAAAATTATAAATGTTACATAAAATATTCTATTTCAAATAGGCTAAATGCTGTTCTTCAAACTTTTTATTCATCAAAGAATCTTTGAAGAATACATTTTCACAATGATAATATATAATAATTATTTCTTTAAAAAAAAATTACCCTCTAACAGTTCTCTATTCTGTCTACTTGTTTTTCTATTTATTATAGAAAATTGACCCCCTAACACCAGCGTTCTCTATTTTTTTTCTATTATATCTACTTGTTTTCTTTATATTTATTATATGACATATATTTTTATTTATTCTATCACATCATATGACACTGGACTAATTGCTGCTGAAAATTTAGCTTTGCATCACAGGAAATTACATTTAAACATATATTAAACATATATTATTGGTGAAGTCATGGCCTAATGGTTAGAGAGTCGGACTCGTAACCCAAAGGTTGTGGGTTCGAGTCTCATGGGGGGAGTGAATGTACAGCGCTCTCTCCCACCTTTAATACCACGACTGAGGTGCCCTCGAGCAAGGCACCGAACCCCCAACTGCTCCCCGGGCGCCGCAGCATAAATGGCTGCCCACTGCTCCGGGTGTGTGTTCACTGCTCTGTGTGTGCACTTTGGATGGGTTAAATGCAGTGCACTAATTCCAAATATGGGTCACATGTCACGTCACTTTCATATTAAATAGTTATTTTAAATTGTAATAGTATTTCACAATATTATTGTATTTACTGTATTTGTGGTCAAACAAATGAAGCCATGGTGAGCACAGGAGACTTCTATCAAAACATTAAAAATGTTAATGGCTAATGGTCTTAATCATTTTGTTATGATCACCAGCTGGAGTGCCCATGAGCTCCACAAGAGGGCTTTCCCCTCCAGACTGTTCTCACATTCACACAGACTACATTCCCCATAATCCTTTGCCCGGACTCATCACCAGTTGCAATCACCTGTATCTCATCACCTCATCAGTCTCACACTATAAGAATGGCACACATACACACTCTCATATCGCTGGTGATTGAATGTTTAGCTGTCTGTGTTTCCTAGTTTCAGTGTTCCTAAGTTTTGCCTTTCTTGTGTTTTGATCCTTGGACTGTTTCCTTGTTTTTTGATTGTTTGCTGCCTGCCCTGACCATTGCCTGCCTTTGTGGATTTCTCTTTTGTCTTGCCTCTGCCATTGTTGTTTGCTGGTGTTTTCGACTCTGAGTTTGGGGTGACATGTGACCTTGATATCTCTCAATAGAATTTGTAAGAGTCACCTGGCTGCCCTGATCTCTAAGTATCTGTATTGGTCATGAAAAATAACCCATGCAAGTCAACCACTAACATAACATAAATCTGCCATCTTACTCACCAGAGAGCGTTTGGTCCCATTTGCTGACAGTAGTGGACTCAGCACTGAGTCCTTCTATGTATTTCAGGTAAGCCTCTGAATGGAGCAGTCGCTGGGGTTTGGGTGGAGGAGCCACAAATATGGGGGTGGAGGGTTGCTGCAGAGCGGGCTGCCCAACCTGGCCCTGCCCCGGGTAAGGTGGCGGGGCCTGCTGGCCTGAGTTCATCACACCCATCTAGAAAAACCCAAAGATTTAGAGAACCTCAATACGACACAATATTAACACCAGAGTTTTAAGAAACACAAAAATTAAAAGCAGTTGGTCTTTCATTTCCTTTTGTACCCCAGCAGCTAAAGCCACCTGACCTATCTTCTAAAATTAAACATTTAACAGTATAATGTAAGGGATAAATGAGAAAACTTTCAAAATGAGCATTACCTGAATCCCATAAGTGCTTCCTGTAGACCCTGGGGCCATTCCATTTATACCTGTGAAAGATGAATCAGCATACACTGCGAATAAGAGACTGATACCCTAAGGTCTTTATGTTCTATGCTGAAATCATTAGCATCTGTTTAATAGCTTATGGTGAAATCCACAGAAATGTAGACATCTGAAGTGAAATCTTTATCCTAAATCAAGCAAAAAAGAGAAATGCGGCTCTTTTCCATATGACAAAATCTTATAGTGATAAGAGGGGCTGTCAAGCTCCCAAAGTCTACTCTAAAAGTACACTGCAAATAAATACCCTAAGGTCTTTATGTTCTTTGCTAATCAGGCAAACACCAATTTTCATTAAATAGTTATTTAAATTACTAAATTATTTAATGAAAATTGGTTTCTCACAGTACCATACGGCTCTAGAAGACTTGAAATGCATCACACAAGTCATATGCACAAAACTGCATACTGTCTGAGTAGGCACTACATTTGGTTAAAAACATACCATTAAAAAAAGTATATTTTATATAGCATGTGTGTGTTGTTTGAATGCAATCTAGATGTAATATATCTGCCATGTTGTCATAAGCTACTACTAAATATTGTAGAAACTTAATTTGCTGTAAAGTTGCTTTGCAACGATTTGTATCGTGAAAAGCGCTATACAAATGAACTTGAATTGAATTGTCATGTGACCTATAGTGCATCAGTTGCATCCTATTCCTTCCATTCTCGACTCCCTTCCTGTGGCCTCATGGGTAGTACTTTATGCATCGCATGTGCACTCCTGAATCTCGGTGGAAGTAGTAAGCCATCTGGGTAATTTTCGCCTACTCTTTTATGAATACTATGAATTCAGACATACTAGTCTTTTCACATACTGTTTTTTGCCTACTACAGACCTTAGTCCTTTTTAAAGTTTAGATGCCCAAAGTCACTATTACTTTTGTGATATGGAAAAAAGCTAGCATATTATTCAAAATATTGGCAATATTTTGATAACGCTTTACAATAAGGACTTATTTGTTTGCAAAGTAAATACATTATGAACTAACAATGATCAATACAGAATTTATGAACCTATGTTAATGTTAGATCATGTTCATGCTAACAGATACAGCTGTTGATTTAAAAAATGTATTAGGAAATGCTGAAATTAACAAGAACTAACATTAATAAATACTGTAAACGTATAGTTCATATTTAAGTACGTTAACTAATGTATTTAAAGGTATAGCTCACCCAGAAATGAAAATTCTGTTATCTTTAACTCACCCAAAAAGTGTCCCAAATCTGTATGAATTTATTTGTTCTGCTGAACACAAAAGATATTTCGAAGAATATGAGTAACCAAACAGCTGATGGTCCCCATTGACTACCCCCCTTTTTTCCAAACTGTGGAAGTCAGTGCCAACTCTGTTTGGTTACCTATATTCTTCAGAATAATCTTCTTTTGTGCTCAACAGAGGTGTAAAGTATTGGAGTAAATGCAATTAGTTACTGTACTTGAGTATCTTTTCGGGTACTTTGTAGTTGTACTGAGTATCAAAGATATTAGCAACTTTTACTCTTTACTCCACTACATTTTTGAATGAGTATCTGTACTCTTTACTCCACTACATTTGAAATGAGTGTTGCAGTTACACATTACATTTTGCATGGACCTATCTTTTTCTGCGGCAGTTTATTTCTGCTACAAAAGACGTGATACTGTCTGCTACAGGTCACTACAAGTACTGCGTTTTGCCCTTAATCACCCAAACTTGTCAACAAGGCTACTTTATGTGAATGCGAGTTCCTTACCAAGTATTTGTGAATCACAGCTGTTTTATATATGAGATGAGGACTTGACTGCAGCCGGCAATGAGGCCCAAACCAGCACATTCACTGCAAGAAGGCTTCGGCTCTCTGTGCCTTGCCCTGGACTTTTATGTCACTTCCTGTCTCCCGTGGTGTTTGTAGTCAGTTTGTTATTCCCCTGTGTGTATATATAGCCCTAGTTGTTCTTTAGTTCCTTGTGAGTTGTTGAATGTAATGGTTGTCTGTTTGCCAGTCATTCTGTTCTTTGTTCCCTTTTGTTTTTGCCTTATTGTTTGTTCTAGTTTTTCCATGAAATACCAGCACATAGATCCTTGCCTCTGCCTGTTTTCTGCAGCTTCTCCACAACGTTACAGTTTTTCGCTGGCATGTCTCTTTGACTAGTGCTTCTTTGAGCCTACATTTAGTATAAGTAAAATACTTAAGTACTGTTAAAATCAGATACTCTAAGACTTTGACTCAAGTTGTTTTGGAATTGGTGACTTGTAACGTGTAGTGGAGTAATTTTCACAGTAAGGTATCTGTACTTTTACTCAAGTATGGTTTTTAGGTACTCTTTACACCTCTGGTGTTCAACAGAAGAAAGAAACAACCTGAGGGTGACTAAATGATGACAGAATTTTATTTTTTTATTTGGGTGAACTATCCCTTTAATTAACGAATGTTAAATAAATACGTATTGTAAAGTGTTACCAAAACATCAAATTTTGTGTTCTATGAATGAAAGAAAGCCATACATGTTTCAAACTTTGTAAGGCTTGAGCAAATGATGACAACTATTATAACTATTCTTCTACAGAACCTTGGGAGTCTCTTCAGTTGGTTTAGTCATGGCCAGGGCACACATTTTGCTCAGTTGAGCCCCTGAGCCTATGGTACAGGTAGCCCCTCTTGTTAGGATTGGAGAGGCAGACAGGAAGCAACTGCAAGTGGGGATGTGTGGCTGTGAAGTGGTCCTTACCCGGATATGGCATGCTAGGCATACCCCACGGGGAGTAGAGGGGTAAGGTAGGCAGCCTCATGGGATGCGGAGGCATGCCGGCCAAGTTAATCATGCCATTGACAGACCCCTGAAAGGGCTGCATGGGTGGCCTGTAACTACCCATCATGCCTTTGGAGGAAGATGAAGGTGGCGACACAACATATGCATGCATCAGTATATAATGCAGCTATGAGAATGAATTCATGCACTACATGTAAAAAGAAAACTACAATTAGAGGATGTCAGCTGATTTATCATTCACAATGAAATGTCAAACCCAGCACACACACACACACACACACCTTTTCCACTAAGAGGGCACCAGAGCTGTGATTACTCTGGCCCCTACCAATGCATTTCCACTGAAGAAAAGTGAAAAAGTGGTCTGAAAAGTCATCTCTGCAATGGCTGCTGGAAGCAGGAACCTTAACCATTTTATGTACACTTTATTTTACTGCTTTGTTTTTCTCCAGTTTTGTCCAGTGTTATTTTAGTATTAAAATGATTTCTATTTAGCTTTATTTCAGTTTTAGTAATGTTAGTTCTTTAATTTAAACTAGTGCTGTCAAACGATTAATCGCGATTAATCGCATCCAAAATAAAAGTTCTTGTTTTCATAATATGTGTGTATACTGTGTATATTTATTATGTATATATAAATACACACACATGCATGTATATATTTAAGAAAAAATGTTATGTTTATATATTAAATATATTTATATTTAATATAAAATATAATATATATATATATATATATATATATACACACACATGTAAATATTTTCAAAATATATACTGTATGTGCGTGTATTTATATATACATAATAAATATACACAGTATACACATACATATATTATGTAAACAAAAACTTTTATTTTGGATGCGATTAATCACGATTAATCGTTTGACAGCACTAATTTAAACTTATTTTTAGTTAGTTGTCAAAGCATCATTTTCATATATCTTTTAAATTTTTATTTATTTATTTCAGCTTTATTTCAATTAACAAACACATTTTTAATAGTTAACAGTACCAAAACTGTACCATCCAACTGAACTTATTTTAGAGATGAACCAGTATAAAAATTTTAGCAGATTCTGATGCAGTTTCTTTTTTTTTTCTTCATGTTGTATGTGATAAATGGCTGATATTAAAATTCTATACCTCTTTATATGTATTTAATTAAAGATAAATTAAAATCAATAGTTTTAAATGCTACAAAGTGAAAAAGTGAGCACTCATTTTGAGATTTGTGAAAGATTACATTTAATTGTTATTAAATTAGTAGCAATTAATAATAAATTATTAACAAGTAATTTTGAGTAAGTGTTAGATATAGGAAAGGTAATATAAATGTAAAAATAGGAAAAATTGCATGCATAATTAAATAACCAATATCAACTTATATTGATAAATAAATAAAAAAATTCATATATGGGCCAATAAATTATATACTGTGCATCTTTTTATATTTATTTTACATTATTTTACATATTTGTTACACACTATTCTATTCAGCTTATGATAGTATAAAGATGCCTAATTAAATATTTTTGATAAACAATCACTTCCATCACTTTTCAGCTTTCAAGTCAGTGGAAACGTAGGAATTCTGAGGAAACTTCACAGAATCCATGTTTGAGCATCATTCCAATGCAAAAGGGGTAGTAAAGTTTCATGATTGTTATAGTTCATGCAATATTTCTTTGATGGATGACAAAGGCCATGCATTCAAAATCACATACAGAAAACGTGGCAGTTTTGCAGAAGGAATGGATTGGCTGAAGATGGAAAGTGCACTGGGGATGAGTGTGTTAGCAGTTAGGCTTCTTATTGCAGCTCTGTGTGGCACCAGAAAGGTTTGTCCACCACATCTGCGAGGGGTTACCTGCCATAGGCGTCATGCTGTGGCTAAGCATCCCCATGGGGGTCGGGGGAGGTATTACCCCCATGAGCGCCCCTACTGGGGTACCTGCTCTTGGGGAGTTCTGATGCGCTGCTCTTTCTCGCTCCTGATGCTCCGCTACCTTTGCTGCCCGCTCTAAATTGATGACAAAAGATAAACACAATGTGATGTTTCATGGAAAACCTGGAGACATTGTATCTCATGCATGCAGCAGTGTCCACATATGATTTCCAGGCAAATTTCTTTTGTGATAAATGGCTAAATTCAACACTTCACCTTCGTACTCAGCTTTCTTAGTGGCCTCAAGGTTCCTCCACTCTGTGCCCACCAGTCGACTGAGTTCTCCAAAGGAGAAGTCAGGATGCTGGGCCTTGATGACGGCTCTCATTTCACTGCTGAAGAGGATGTAGCCACTCATGTTGATCTTCCTCTTCGCCCCCTCCTTCTTTGACAGACCTTTAATTGACTTTGGTGTGGACTGTGGACAAAATGAGATACTGATCACTTAGGCAACATGCATAAAGGCTGCTAATGGTACTTTTGATTCGTCCACTCGTCCATCCATTCTCCAAATTTTTTCGAAATCCCTAGTTTTAATATGATTGACAGGATTAGGGTAGGCAGCTTTACATAGCAAGTTTCCACGGAAGAACAAGTCACTGGATTTGAGCTACTATGATGCAAGCTGGGCTGTTATTGAGCAAGAATTCATTTCAGATTAACAATGCTGTTTTAGTGCCACATTAAAAACAGGATAAAACAAGACCTGAAATTTTGAGAATAAAGTAGTAACATTTAAAAAATGAAGACTTAAATGGATAGTTCACCCACAAATGAAGATTTTGCCATCATTTACTCACCCTCATGACGTTCCAAGCGTGTACGACTTTGAGCAACACAAAAGGAATTTTAAAAACTGTCACAGTATTTTTTTTGTTCTTAAATTGGAAGTTACCAACATTCTCCAATAAAACATATTTAGTGTTCTGCAGAAGAAAGTAAGTCATTCAAGTTTAGAATGACATAGGTATGGTCAAATTAGTGATTAGTCAAATTTTGGCAAAAGTTTGTGGCAAAAAATGTCCCTTAACAATAATATATTTCCGCCTGTGAAAATTCAATTGACCAACAGTAAATGTGACCACACTTTATGAGTGAGTAAATGACAGACTTTTATTTTTATCACTTTACTATCATAACTATAACTAATATTTCGGGAATCGTTTGAAAAAAGGCCTTGTGCAAAATTAGTCAACTTTTCAAGAATGGAGTTGCAGCATTTTAAGATTAACAAGATTAAAATATTTTGAGAACTCTTATTGTGAAAAAAAAATAAAACACTTAAGGGGCCAGTACTAATTTAATCTTACAATGCTACAACTCTAAGCGGAGACAATTCCCAAAACCTTAAACCTTTGTTTTTTTCATGTTTTACTGTGGCACTACAATGCAATTCTAAAACTGTACCCACCACAAAATATCTTAAACTTAAACTGTGGCTGGCCAGTTTACGTGTCCCAAGTTGGCAGTTTTTGACAATAAGCTGCAAAATGGATACGACTTCATGTAGATAATGAATAGTCTTGCTCTAACACAGCTAGTTACAAAATACCATCAGACCCTTCCGAGTCTAAATCAACAAGGAAAAAGTGATTTTCTTTCAGTAACAGCATAATCCAGACCTGGGGGGGTGCATAATGCAGCATGTCCATGTCGCTGGTCAGCTGAGTCTGAAGCTGCCGCATGCAGTGAGCATCAGATCCGTCTCCATCATCATCTCCCAAATCCTCCAGCTCTTCATCCGTCATATCTGCAAACTTGGCCTCCAACTCCTCGATCTTCTTATCCAGCAGTGGAGAAGGCTCCTTCTGAGGCACTATAAGCTTTCTGACAGAGACAACCAAAAGCATGAGTCCAGTGTCCAAGTCTGGGACAGAAACAAGCAATCCCTGTTGAGATCATGAGCTCTCATCGCTATACAATAAAGTCTGTTTCTTATGTACATATATATATATATATATATATATTTTTTTTTTTACATTTGGATTACTTCAGTAGTTAACAAGAAGCAACTGACCGAAAGTAATAGATTTCATCCTCAACTACTTTGGCAGACAGAGAGAAGCGCTTCAGCCCTTTAAACTTCTTCATTTGCTTCTCGCTCTCGATGTAGCGGCTCTCACACAGCAACACATTCTCCTCCAGCATTTCAGTTGGCCGGCATGACAGGAAATCTTTGAAAGAAGACACTGTACACTTCCCTGAGGAAAATAAATACAGTCCAGATGAAGGAAAAGACTTAACTAACAAATCGCTTATTTATTTCACATTGTAATTTCAATTTAAATAACTCTGTCTGTTCTTCAGTCAATGTCCTTGTAATCACTCAATAATACAGTTGCAATGATGGAACTTAAATTCGAGGCCATCCAAAAATACTGTTACCTCCAATACAGGTCATAGGGCAGGTTTCTTCCAGGTTACTGAGGAACACTTCCTTCTTGTAGAACATCTTAGTAGGTTCATGCTCAGTCTCCTCGGGATGGATGAAGATGGGGCCAAAAAAGTAGGCAGCTTCATCTCGCACCCACATCTTCTCTATTCTATTACAACACAAACCCAACACTGTCATGTTGTTTCACATCAAGTTTGGTAACATCAGTGACATCAAACGTTGGTTCTTGCATATTTTGTAACCAAATGTGATGTTCAAGACTTCAGCAGACTTGTATATTATAATATATTACACACAAGTCATATTGAAAGGATGGTTCTGTCATCAGTAGCAATGCTTTCATCCAAAGTTGCGAATTTAAATTATGCGCACAATTGGATTGTCGCATTAAAACGTTAGCGATTTGAACTTTATTTGGAGTACTACTTGTGCACATTGCACATTTCTTAATATTAAGCCTAAAATGTGTTTTAATGTCACTATTGATGAGGACTGTATGATCTTTGAATAATATCGGCCTTTAAATGCAAGACATTTAAAGTGTACCTGAAGTATACTTGCAGAAGTTGCACTTTAGCACAATCAAATACACTTCAGTATATCTTTAGTTGGACTTAAGCACAATTAAAGTGCATTAAGCACAAAATTAGTTCTTTCAATTTAGCAGACTTTAAGTATACCAGTTTATTGTACTAAAAATACCGTTACAGGGTATTTTTATTAAGTACATAAATATGTAAATGTATTTCTAGTACACTTAGCATAAAATAAATGTATTTCAAATACATTTTAGTATATTTATTTTTCACTAGGGTTCCTGATAAACTGGCACCAATATCACTAAGAAAAATGTCATTTGCTGAAGTAGGAGAAGCCACGGTTGGTCTTTTTTCATATATAATAAATTACGTGTGCCTCAGAGCGCTCAGATGAAATGCAATAAACGGAATCATGCTATCTAAGGATTCCTGTTTGGGAACGCAGTCGTGTTGTGGATGTAAACCCAGCTAATTACTTACCGTTATGTCATTCCAAACCCACAAGACTTTCATTAAGCTTCGAAACACAAGTGAAAATATTTTTAATGATTGAAAGTCCATTCCACCAAGACTTTGATGCTTCAAAAAGTTCATGAAGAGATTGTAAAAGTAATGCATATGAATCGAACCGTTTAATGTTTTAGTGGGATGGACTTTCAGCGGAGATTTCTAATCTCATTCATGCTTCGAAGATGAACGAAAGGGGTTTGGGTTTGGAATGACACGAGGGTGACCAGATGACAGAATTTTCATTTTTTGGGTGAATATACTACCTTTATAGTGCCTTTCTGTACTTTTCAACGATCCACAATATGAACAACACAGCGACTCTTTGGTCTCGTCATTGGTCCCCTACCTGCCCACACGGTTGCGTACGAGCCCATGAGAGCGGATGTAGACACAGTCTCCCACTTTTAGCCACATGTCGTTGTAGCAGAGCTGCTCATAGTACTGGCAGCCTGGCTCTCCATTACTGACCTCCATGGTAACATCCTCTCTCTCCTGAAGACACAGATTGATGGTCAGGCGGCATATGTGTATATATATATATATATACAGTGGGTACGGAAAGTATTCAGACCCCCTTAAATTTTTCAGTCTTTGTTATATTGCAGTCATTTGCTAAAATCATTTAATAATCAATGGCACAGCTTTGCCATCCTCTGCCACCTCAAGAGGCTTCTCGCTGTCCTGTTTGGGTGCAAACATGGAGGCCACACGAACCACAGGCAAGGGCACTACACGAGGGACGAACTTCACGGAGCTCAGGGGCATCGTCCACATCTTGATCTTTTTGAAGGACTTGGTTTTCGCAGAATAACGAGACTCGCAAACAAAAACATCTTCAGGTCTGAAGCTGTCAGGCTGAAGCTTGAAATACTCCTGCAATAAAGATTTTTTTATCAGAACAGTTAGATTACAATCGTATAATAATGCAAAAATATGTTTCGTTTACGGAGAATGTTTTGGAATCATTGCTGAATGATATTACCTTCACAAACATGACGACACATTTACCCAGTATTTTACTGACAGGAATTTTGTTGTAATAGTCACTTTTGAAAGCTTCTTTCTCAAGAAATTTGCGTGTGGCGAGATGAAATGTTTCGTTGGGTCTATAGAACCAGCAGCCATAAAGCCAGTTCTCTCCTTCAGAAGAAAAATACATACACATAGTTTAACAGCAATACTAATAGGGTTGCAAAAAAATGGAACATTTCCAGAAAACATTTTGGAAACTTTCCAGGATTTTTTTGAATATTCCAGGGATTTTATGGAAAGTTTCCAGAAATGTACCAGACATTTTCCACCCCTTTGCAACCCTAAACACTAATGTTCAAAAGTTTAGGATTGGTAAGATTTTAAAAATGTTTTTGTAGACTGCATTTGTTTTTTTTACAGTAAAACAGTAATATTGTGAAATAATATTGTAAATTGTGAAAACTGTTTTCTATTTTAAATTACCTTAAAACGAGTTTATTCCGGATATGGCAAAGCATCAAATTTTCAGCATCATTACTCCAGTCTTCAGTGTCACATGATCCTTCAGAAATCATTCTAATATGCTGAATATTCTAATATGCTCTAATATTCTTTGATGAATAGAAAGTTCAAACGAGCAGCATTTATTCAAAACTGATTTTTTTCTATAACAATCTAAAAGTCTTTATAATCACTTTTGATTTCAAATCTTACTGACCCCAAAATTTTAAATGGTACTGTATATTCTCAATCAACAGTGTTTAGAGCAACCTATGTGCCATATAAACGGTTTTATGAAGCAATACCTGCATCATCCTGCCACAGGCGCTCTATGCAGACGATGTGCGGCTGCAGGTTTGGTTCTGTGGGCTCTACATAAACATAGTCTCCCACGTGGTACATGTTGTCCTTGAAGCTGCAGTCCTGGCTGTAGTTGCGTTGTAGAGCCCCCTTCCATCCACCACCTGCTGTGTCCTCACTCTTCTCAGCCTCTGGAAATCAGTGTGAAAGGATTAATAAACAGCCATCTGAACTACAAAACATTACAATTATTGGCAACTTGCACACTCCAAGTTTAGTTCAGAGACTGACAACTGCTTTAAACACAGGAGAGAATCTCCTTTGTCTATAACATAAAGAACTGTGACTGTTGATACAGTATGTATATAAATAAACATATACAGTATGCTAAAAGTTGATCCTGTTTAAATATGGTTTGTGGTTACAATATGTTTGTCACTCCTGTAAATGCATCAATGGCAAATAATTGTGGCCAAAATAAAGGGGAAAAAATGTTTTTTTTTTTAAATCAGTAACATTTTAGTATAGGGACTAATTCTCACTATTAACTAGTTGCTTATTAGCATGCCTATCATTAACATATTGGCTGTTTATTAGTACTTATAAATCCCATATTCTGCATGACCATATTCTACATCCGTAATCCTACCCAATACCTAAACTTACCAACTACCTTACTAATTATTAATAAGCAGCAGATTAGGAGTTTATTGAGGCAAAAGTCGTAGTTAATGGTTTGTTAATAGCGAGAATTTGACCTTAAAACCGAATGTAAAACATATGTACCAAGTTCTTAGAAATGTATTTGTTGTATCGGTATACTGGTTTCCTTTTTTTTTTTAACTGTACCAAATTTAAATTTTATCAAATGAATTACATAATTATACAAGTATAAATTAATTTCATATTTTTCTTAATACTTGTGAGGTGTACACATCATTATTATTATTAATTAAAAAAACAATGTAAAAGTACAAGGTAAATGTTATATATATATATATATATATATATATATATATATATATATATATATATATATATATATATATATATATTTAAATATATTTATATATAATATAAATTATATGAATATAAATATGTATATATGCAAATATTTTCTAAATATATACATGCATGTGAGTGTATTTATATATACATACTAAATATACAGTACACACACATATATTATGTAAACAAAAACTTTTATTTTGGATGCAATTAATCATGATTATATAACATATATATATATATATGTCTTTTTATCTCATAAAAAACAAAAACCCTTATTGACCTTGACACAGTTTTGAGGGTGTATTTGTTTCTGCTTGTTTCTGCACAGTGGTTGC